CGGGCAGCGCCCTCTGAGGGGGCAGCAGCGCTTCCTGCCCCTGCGGGGCACCCGCCGCGCCGCCGCTCCGCAGTTCCCAAGCAAGTGCCTACCGGGCAGGGAAGCAGCATTGCCAGCCAGGTAGGGCTTGGCTTCATGGCTTGTGGTGACTCACCTGCTCCTTTCCAAACTCCTCCTTGCACAGGTGTCAGTCACAGAGGTCATCTAGGCCAGTGGGTCTCAACCTTTTTTTTGCACCAGGACCCATTTGTCAACAGCGATGGGAAGCATTGATTCATAGGTGTAGGCTCAGAAGGAACCTCATCAACTCCGACCCCCGGCCCTGGGCAGAAAAGAGCACTGCGGTCAGACGACCCCAGCCAGGTCCTTGTCCAGTCCATTTTCTTGGGGCCCCCTGATGCGAAGAAGCCGATGGTGGCATTGGCAGTGGCGAGGAGGGAGCCAGCAACAACACCGACTGGTGGCAACTGCCTACCCCGCCGCTTGCCACAGCACTGATTGCTAATGTTCAGGGCTGTGAGGCCCCCACAGCCACAGGTTCTGCAGGATAGGGTGGGCCGGCCCTGATGGGGAGTCTTGACCCAGTGCCCCTCACGTCCAACCTGCTGCCCCCAGGTCCCCAGTCAGGGCTGTCCCTTGAGGGGGGCTGAATCAGGGCAACCGCCCTGAGCCTCACACTTTGGGGGGCCACATCTAGCTGCTCACTACCCATTTCCCCCCTGTTGTTGGCCATGGCAGCTTTTTTGGATCCAGGGCACGCAGGAACGGGCCGGAGTCTCACAAGGGGTGATTTGCCCTGGCCCTGCACCCTGCTTGGGTCAGCTCTGCCCCCTGTGTATGGAGCAGGGGCAGGGCCAGTCCAAGGGTAATTGGTACCCTGGGCATACGGTGTACCTTGATGCCCCCACCACTTCCAATATAGAGGAAAATAAGAAGTCTAGAATGAACATTTACATGTACTTATTTGGTATTCAAAATGAACAATAAAACAATAAAAACAAAAAATTCTTATTGATTGTTTGGAGGCAATCAGGACTCATAGTAGAGATGATATCTTTTATTAGACCACCAAGATTATTGCAAAAACATGTCTTTAATTGCAAGCTTTCGGGCACAAACACCCTTCATCAGGCACTGGAGGAAAGATTGTAAAAGTTCTCCTGGGTAGAAATTAAAGTTCATATTTCATAGGATTTCACAGAGGATAGAAAACGCCTCTGGGCAGTCAGTTCATAGCCAGTATGGAGCCTCTCACCTCCTGTGAGGATCTGTGATAATGCAAATTACTTGGAAACAAAGGCAGGAGCAGGATCTTGATTGTTATTATTGTTTGTTTATTATTTATTGTTTTATTGTTCATTACCATTGTTTATTATTTATTGATGGTTTATTATTGATATAAGATATAGCTTGATCATTGATTGTTTCGCACTTGTCATTAACCCTAACACAATTCTACAAGCTGGCCAGGACTGTTATTTAGAATGATGTTCTGTTAATTTGTTCTGCATATAATTTTGGCATCCCCCAAATTTTGGCACCCTAGGCGACCACCTAGTTTGCCTAATGGTTGGACTGGCCTTGGGCAGAGGGTATGTGTGTGGGGCATGGGGATCCCCAAGCAGCCCCTCACAGGCTGGGACTCCACCAGCCTGCAAGGGAAAAGCCACAGTTTCCCACATTTTTCCTTTAAAAGAGAATCCATTTTTAAAGTTTACTGATTCATTTTTAAAGTTTCCTTGTGACTCTTTCAAATATTCCTGTGACCCACTTTGGATTGTGACCCACAGGTTGAGAAATGCTGATTTATGCCAACCCCCCTGCCTGAGGCAGGGTCATACCTATCCAAATCATCCTGAATGCTCCAGAATCTAAACTCTACACAAGATGCTTGCAACCCTGACACAACAAGAGGTAACACCCAAACTTGCCACAGGTAAAGCAGGAGAACCATGGCAGCCAATGTCCTGATTATATAAAATGTTGATTCAACGTAATTCCAGGGTAGAGGGCAACACCACCTGCTATAGAGGAAGGAACCCCGCCCCCCGGCATCCCAATCTGAGTACAGGGGAAAATTCTTTCCTGATTGCAAATAAGGTGAATGGTCTGACTCTAAGCATAGGGGCAAGACCCTCTAGCCAGGAACCTCTGGCTTTGTTCTCAGCAGAAGCATTGGCACACCACAATCAAAGGCCCCAGCCTTGGCTGTAGCCAACACCCAATGCTTCTGGGAAGGTTTAAAACCCCCCTGACATAAATAGCAGAAGGGGAGGGGGCACAGGGGCAGAAGTATGGAAAATACCTATGGTAGAACATAGATCTAGCTATATCTAGATTGTCCCTGACCAGCGGCTGTCCAACCTCTTTTTGAACATCTCCAGTGACAGAGAGTCCACAACTTTTTAAGGCAGTCTGTTCCACTGCATTGCTATTCTAACAGTGAAGAAGTTTTTCCACATATCCAATCTAAACTTACTTTGCTGCCACTTCAAGCCATTAGCTCATGTCCTCCTCTCTGCAGTGAGAGAAAAGGTGCTTTCCCTCTTCTTTATGGCTGCCCTTCAAGGACTGCTATCATTTTCCCTCTTAAATGCCTGAAGCGTTCATGGCCCTCTCTTCTTTTTAATGGTCTTGATGTTCCATCAGTCAACCTCTCCTTTCTTCTGCAGTTCTGCTGTCTGTTAGCTGCTCCTGGGGAATGAAGCTCCTACTTCACAGCCCTGCAGATTGTTTTTGACTCATTCTAATGATGTTATATTTGTTTTTTTCTTCCATTTTAAATGGAATAGTTTAGCCCTAGGCCCCTAATGTATTAGGAACACTTCTAGTTTCTTTTTAATTGGAGAAAACTATGTGTTGATTCACCTCACCATGTGCACCCATCCCCTTTTCAAAATTCTAGATCAGCCCATGGGGTAGTCCCACTGGCTATATTGGAACAGTGGGCACGATGTGGGTTTGCGCGTGCTTGTTTTCAGGATCAAAACTAGCATGTGTAATGTACTTACGGGGTACGTACTTGCAGGATTTGGCTCGACAGAAGGCAGGAGTGACTGGGAAGTACAGAAAATGGCCAAAGGACATGGGCAACTAGAAGGCCTTCAATGGTGAGGGTGGTAGGTATTCAGAAGTTCTTAACAAACCCCTCCTCCTCACACAAAGCTTCTGTCCTCCGGTTCTTCCAGACAGTTCTTCCAGCCTTCCTTTGTAAGTCATGTTTCCCAGGCCTCTAATCATGTTAGTTTTTTCCCCCTGGACTTTTTCCCATTTGTCCTCCTCTTTCTTGAAGTGCAGTTCCCAAGACTGGACACAGAATTCCAAATAAGGCCTCATCAGTACTGAATAGAGTGTGGTACAAGAACCAACACTGAATAGAGTGAGGGGTTGAGGACCTAACATAAAAGCCAATAGATACAGTGAAGAATTGGCAGAGTTTTGATATATGTTTGTTTTCAGTTTCGCTTTTGCATTTTACTATGGGGTAGAAGTAGGGGAGCACTGAAAGGACCAAAGAAATCATTAAAAGTGTGGGAGAGAACTTGGGAAGTGAATTGAAAAAGGATAGTCATAGTTCATCACCTACCTAGCCGTAAGCAGCAAGTATTATTGGAGATACGGAATTTTCAAAAGTTGATTGAGGTTGTGTTTGTTAATCTTTTTAGATTTTTGAAAATACCACCCAGGAAACTTGTATCTGATGTACAATTGAAGAGGAGTCAGTGAAAAGAATTAGAGAGGGGAACGACAGAGTGTCGATCAAGAAAGATGAACAGACTTTAAATGTGCAAGGTTGCAGTAATCAACATCAGATAGGAATATTAGTCAAGGCAGGAAGGTCATTTTCCCTTCTGATATCAATCAAAAACTGTTAACAGGGAAGCTCAAAATGTTCCTTCGACCCTGGAAAGTTGAAGAATCATTATTTTATAATATGTATCTGAAATATTAGGTATAAACATGATTTCTTTAGCCAGTAGGAAGTCTGATGGGCACGTTATTCTAAAGGCACAGATTTAGATACTCTCACAAGTATATTTTTCCTTTGAGAGGACAATGGAACAGATTCATATATGGGATTCAGTTATACTCCATCTTTGCTCAAATACAAGGTAGTGGAGAGAGTGAGATGAAGAAGATGGTCCTTATGCATCCCTGAATACAAGGGCTACTTAATTCTAATAGCACTGAGTTCCTCAAGTGAATAGGAAAGAATGGCACTGTGTTCTCTGCAACCTTCCAGTCTGAGGCTAAGGTCTATGAAAAAGATAGCATGATCCTGGGCTATACTATTGTTAACGGAGAATCTCCATAGACTTCAACTGTGTATCATCCATGACCTCCCCACTCCTCTCCCATCCTTATTAGTTTTGGCTTTCTCCCATAATACAGCAAATGAGAAGCTTATATGGAATTCACAGAGTGGTGGGAAGCAGTGTTAAGGAAATAACTGAGACCCCTGCTCATGTAGGAAGTGTTGACATGCACACAAAAGGACTCCCTCTGTACAGGGGGCTAATGGATACCCTGGCCAATGGATAGATCAGCAGCTGTGCTCTCACAGACATTGTTCCTGCCTGAAGCATAAAGCTTCCTGGATCTCCTGCTGGGGTATTGCAACTGTGCACTAGTCCCTTAACATAATGTAACCCATAAGGGAATTGGGGAAGCAGATGCATTCAATTATAAAAAAAAAGTCCCATTAGGAAGTTATCTGGTTATCCAATGCCCTGCTCAAGAAAAGATGATCCATCTCTAAACCATCTCATCCTAGTGTTTGTCTAATTTTCTCTTAAAATTTTCAAAGGATGGAGATTCTACAACTTCTCTAGGAATCTCTGTCAATGCTTAACTGCCCTCAGAATTAGGAAGTGCTTCGTACCATCTGGCCTACATTTCTCTTGTTGCAATTAGGACCGTTATTACGCTCTATCACCATCCTCTTTAAAACAATGTTTCAGGTATTTGAAAGGTATTATCAAACCAACCCTCTTAGGCTTTTCTTCTCCAGATTAATCATCCCAGTTCCTCCAGCCTTTCCATGCCAGTCATATTTCCCCATCCTCTAATCATTTTAGTTGATTTCTACTGGACTCCTTACCATTTGTCTACATCGTTCTTGAAGTTCAGTTCCAAGACTGGGCAGAGGCCTCATCAGTACTGAATAGAGTGGAAAAATCACTTCCCTTGGCTTGTAGGTAACACTTCTATTAAGCTAACTCAGTGTGCCAGTGGTCATCAGCATTCTGTGGTGAATTTGTGGGCCAGGATGGCCAAGCTTAGGTCATACCTGGATTGGTGGAAGGACACAGCTGTCACCATTGCTTCTCCCTGCCACCACTTTTCCCTGATGCTCAGCTGCAGCATGGCATGGAAAGCTGCCTGCTTCCCAGCCACCCGGCTACAGTGTGGCACAGTGCAGTGAGGCAAAGCCCCTTTCGCCCAATGCTGTCAAGAGCTCTTGCTACTGAATGCTGTCAAAGCTAAAGATCGGCAGGATTGAATGGCTCTGTGAGCTGGATCTGGCCCATGGGCCATAGGTTGCCAACCTCTGCTGTATATTATTAATTTGTTTGCAACAAGAGCAAACTTTTGCCTCATATTCCATCTGTGGTCCACTATAACTACGAGCTTGTTTTCTGCAATACTTAAGCTTATCCAGTCTTCCCCCATTTTGCATTTGTTCTGTCCCACGTATAGGACTTTGCATTTGTCCTTACTGAATTTCCTTCAATTATTTTTGGATCATTTTTCAAGTTTATCCAGGGCTATTCTGAATCCTGCTCCTATCCTCTGAAGCATTTGCAAGTCCATCCAGTTTGGTGTCATGTATAAATTTGGTAATTGTCAATGAATTCATGTTGGCTGTTCCTAATCACCTTGTTATCCTTGAGGTGTTTTGGAATAGATTCCTTGATGACACACTCCATAATCTTTCCAAGTATAGAGGTCAGACTGACTCGCCTATAATTTCCTTGATTCTCATTCTCCACTTATTTAAAGATAGGCACCAGTAGTGTAACTACAGGTGGATGAGCACAGCATAAGCTGCTTCAGGTGCTGCCTAAGGGAGGGTGCCCCCTCAACTCCATGTCCCTCTACACTCAGCACCTTCCATGCAGCAAGTCTGGTAGCCAGGGCCTAGGAGCACTTGTGAGGTTGGTGCTGGCTAGAATCTTGCTTCAAGAGGAAGTGCTGCTCCCCAAAAATACTAGTTATGCCTCATCTCAGGCCTGCTTCATATGGTGATATGAAGTACAGTATGTGTCTACAGCCTCTGTGGCATGCTGAACCTATTACCATTAAGCACTCCCTGTCCAATCCCTCCCACTACACTGATGTCAAATTCAAGTTATGACCTCTCAATGTAGCTGGTATTCAGAGGTCGTGAGCAGGCACCAAGCAGTGCTCTCAGGCTCACTATCTCCAGTATGGTTACTGCAGTGTGTGCTCAAGGGTACTCTAAGCACATGGCCTCATTTCTAGGATTTGGCAGGCCTGGAGTAGGATCCCATGGACAGAAAGTGCTGCATGGCAGCAGTCCCAGGGGCAGCACCACAGTAGTGTAGGTAAGGTTAGAGCCTTCTTTCTAGCCCCTTTCTGCTTCTGTGGTGATGTAGAGGGGCAGTAAATGAGGGGATCAAACCACTGGGGAGCTCCTTGGCATGGGGAGAGCTATGTGTGCTGGAGAGCTAGCGTAATTCTGGTCTGTTCTCTTTAAATTGTTAATCCACTTTCATCACTAACGTATCCAAACCCCTTCCTATAATGGACCAAGCACTGTGACTAGCATCTCCTGCAGATTCCGTCTCTAAGGGGAAAATGTTGTGTGCAATATGCTACCTTGTTTTGGTTGTATCATTTTGAGCATGGTTATTTATTTCTTTAATTAAAGTAAGCCCCCCCTAACAATGCTGGAAGGTAGAAAATAATGTCTAAGGAAAGAGTCTGCGTGGTCAAAGTGCCATTGCACTCCAGGTAATTCTGGCTGCTGGAGGTGTCTCTGGGGGCTACAGACAGATGGGTATAGTTTTAGAGTAGCTAAAAAGAGTGATTCTAGAGTTTGGCCTAAGGATAAGGAAAATACAATAGTGGTTTAATCTCCTTTAGGTCTCTAGCCTTACCTTCTTTTCTTGTTGGAAACATAGTTTACCAGAACAGAAAATCAAGCATATTTTAAGTAACTTGTATTTGTCAACTCAGGGGACTATCAGCATCATCTTAAGATGATATTTTCTCTTTCTCATGTCATATGAAGTAACAGTGGAGTTGTCTAAACTAAGCGTTAGAATGGAGGTATTATTTTAATTTTGGACACATTAGAATTTTTTAACATAAATTATTCTGATAACATGGCAAGCTGCCTTTCTGCTGTATTACCTGAAAACATTCAATTTGTTTCACATTTTTATTTGGAATTTAGAGTATGTTGATGAAGGATGCATTATAAGGAATTATATTTATAATTTTATTGCTGATTAAATATGATCAATTTTGAACTGTTTGAGGGAAGAGATTACATTTTTATGGATCTTCAAGGGACATATTGTAAACATATTAAAATATGATGCTCTACACATTGCATGCATTGTTATAAACCTATTTGTTTTATAAAAAGTAACTAGTTTCAAATTGCTTTTGATTTTAGAGGAAACCAGGGAATAGTAAGAGGCAAGAATTTTTCTATAAAATTTCTGATCATATACACTAACATTATACAAATACAGCAGAAGGGTGGTAGTGGGGAACAAAAATATGTTCTCCTTCTTTTCAGTCTCACATTAAAATTAATCATATAATTTTATTATTGTAATTCACTTTCATTACAGTATTGACTAGACGCCAAGATTGGGCATTGAACTAGACACTACACAAGTTCATAGAAAGTGTCCCTGCTTCATATACCTTGTAATCTATGGCAAGAAAACAAGACAATTTGTGGGAGAGGAAGAAGAGGCTCTGGCTTTTTTTTTTTTTTTTTTTTAAAACCCCTTTTTTTCCTCTCTCCCCACCACCAAAAATAAAAGAAAGAAAAAAGGAAAAGGTAAGAGTGTAATTCTGGATACTTTGAAGTCAGTGTCAAGAAACTTTCTGACTTGAATGGGCCAGGATTTTACCC